CTGAATCTCAGTATCAAATCGCTATCATACAGCGGGGTGAAGGAGGACCACATCTGAACCAGGGGCTGCTTTAACATGAAAATTAGTTTGATGGAACATTGAGACAACCCCAAAAAGGTAAGACCACCAAGTATCCAGACAGCTCAGGAATGGTAAACTGAATCGTTCCACCAGGTAAAGAACCTCGAGTAGGCAGGTGCTGGCTGAAGACAGGAAGATCATAGAATGGGCAGTAGAAAAATGTTTTTTTAAAAGTATCCACTCGGGGTACCTGGGTGACTCAGTCATTAAGCATCTGCCTTCGGCTCAGGTCATGATCCCAGGGTCCTGGGATGGAGCCCCGCATCGGGCTCCCTGCTCCGTGGGAATTCTGCTTCTCCCTCTCCCTCTCGCCCTGCTTGTGTTCCCTCTCTCACTGTTTCTCTGTCAAATAAATAAATAAAATCTTTAAAATCAATCAATCAATCAATCAATCAAAATATCCACTCAACTTAGGAACAGCTAAGAATCAAGGACCATCCAGTGCTCATCACATCATGTGATGTTATACACAGCTAAGGAATCATCGAACACTACCTCAGAAACTAATGATGTACTATATGTTGACTAATTGAATTTAAATAAATAATAATAAAAAAAGAATCAAGGACCATCTGGGAAGTTTGGTGGTACTATTGTAACTTTACAATAGAACCCTGGTTTATCCTGGAGTAGATTTCTTATGGAGTGTTTTTGGAAAATGCTATTCAAAGGAACTCAGGGCAAAATATTAAAGCAAAGTCAAAAAACGAGTGACAAACTGAGAGATTAAATGTTACAGATAAAGGGGAAATCTTCCTAACATAGAGACAACTAAAGATAAGGAAAAAAAGATAAAAAAATTGGATAGAAAAATGACAAAGACCTGTAAATATAGTTCACAAAAAAAAATTAGACAAAAAGCTTTTAAATGTTTGAAGACATAGAACTTCACCAATAAGAAAATTAAAAGTACACTGAGATACGCATCAGCTTAACAAAAAATGCAAAAGCTGAAAAACCCACTTTGGTGGCAAGACTGAGAGGAAGCAGGTATCGTCATGCAGTCCCTCTCAAGGTAAATTTGACAATACCTAATAAAATTACATATGCATTTACCCTTGACTTGGTGATTCCACTTCTGGGAAATTACCCTAAAGATACATCTCTATGGCATCATTTGTAATTGAAAAATTTATGTTAATATATATTATGTGTTTATATTGATTTTTACATACCAACATAAAGCAGTAATGGGGGAATCCTTAAAGTTGAATAGAAAAAATCTAATTGGATATCAAATTGATGATGTCCACACTGAAAAGAATAATTAAACTTTTAAACGTAGTGTTGTGACAATACAATTTTTTGCCTAAGGGCATAAAACCTTAGAAAAAACTTAAAAATTTTACTTCGTAGGTTTGCTGTTGGTAGTGGTTGTAGTGTAGTAATTTCACAACTATTTTGTGTGTATGAGAGAGGTACAAAAATGAAGGAGGGAAATGAAGAACCACCCCGGGTGTTGGATTTGAATTGATAGGTTCACTGTGAACTCGCGATTTTTAAAAGGTCTAGAAAGAAGCATCACTCCAGTAGCAATAAACAAACATAGTGTGGGGATTAGGGTTCCTGAATACCATTCCTTACTAAAAAGCCCAGGGTTCCTTGAAGAACAGTTAGTTTCAAGTCTAGAGTGGAAAAGTATAAAGTGAGCCTGAAACATCTCACTGTACCTTGGAGTAAAAAAGTGTTTCCAAAATGATAGGAACACACAAGACATTTAACCTGAAGAAAATCCCAATAGCCAAAGCTGACAGGACTTGAGCATCACATAGAAGAATTATGGTTACAGACTAGACCATATTTCAATTAAAAAGGAGGAAAGAAACAGGAGGATGGAGGCTCAGGCTAGGTCTTTGCAAATTGGTAAGAGACAGATGGAGAAGAGGATTAGGTCAGTATGAACAAACAAGGACCTGTCCAAGAAGAGGACAAATTCAGGAGACTGAAGCGGGGTGGGGGGTCAGGGGCAGGTACGGATCCAGCTAGAGTGGTAGGTGCATGGGGGGGGGGGACCAGGAAGTTTAAGATTCAGGGGTTTTGGGCCATGAATCAGTGGTCTAGGACCACGAATGCCAGTCTGAAGACTTGACTGAGTCTAGTGGCAATGGGGAGCCAGTGCAAGCTTTTGAGCAGAGGGGGTTATAAGAGATGAGGAAACAGGTATTTCTGGAAGGTGCCTCTGGCAGCTCCGATGGAGGACAGAGAAAGGAGGGGTGAGATGGAGGAGATCTTTGCAGGAGGCTGAGGAACGACGTGTTGGGGCCTGCAAAGAGCCTGGGAATAGGTAAGAATAAAAATGGCCGAAATGAAAAAAAGCACTTTGGAGGACGGATAGACAAATTCCTTTGTCAGAGGAGAGAGTCGGTGACTGAGTTTCTGTGCTGAAGAGCCGGGAGGATGATGGTAGTGCGGAGCTGAATATGCTGGGCAGAGAACTGGTCTCCCCTGTTCTGAATTGGCTTTGACTAGGTTGATTGTGAGACCTTAGATTTTTGATGCATCCAAACCTTGAAAGGTTAAGGGAACATCCCACGCCGGGGGGGTGGGGGGCGGGTGTTGCTGGCCCTTCTCTCCACCAGTCCGATCTCTTACAGACCTCAGGTAAAAGGAGGGCTCCAGTGTGTTCCTGAAGCCCCTGCCAATGATTGCTTGTCAGAGGATTTTATGATGCTCCAAAGATAATGCCCAGAATCTTCTCACTGGGGTGTCCCCTTGGGCTCCTCTGACTGAGCGTGACATCATCTCCTGACTGGGCCAGAAGAGAATTCCCAAGACCAGACTCCAGGGCGGGCTCCCATGGATGCCCTTCTCGGTCATCCTGCAGTGAAGCTGGACGGGGGCGCCTCGTGGGGTGCCGGCCACCCTCTCTGCCCAGCATTCTGGCCTGGCTGGATGGCGCTGGCCCGGAGCCCCCATAGCGAGCTGGCTTCCCAGGCAGCCTTCCTCCCTGCACGCTTGGCATTCATGCGGCCTGGCTATAAATTTTGCCCAGTGTGTTCATTTTCACCTTAAATGTGTTCTCATCCCAGAGGAGCAACTAATGGCGTCAAGTTACTGATGTGCAAAAAGCCTGCCGCTACAATGACTGTGGATTAATGAAATTGCAGTCATGGCGGCTGGGGCGGCCATAAGTCGTCAGCCGTTGGTGACATGGATTTTACACCACGCTCCCCATCCCCTCCCCTCTTGCCCCAAATTATTTTGTGGTAAAGATGCTGGGTAAATGTTTACCATTGCTTGAACGTTTGCTTTCTATTAGAAGCCGATGCAAGCCGAGCCCCTCACTCCTAAGGGAACCTTCTCCCACACAACGGGAAGGGAGTGGAGAGGGATTTAAAAGCCTGTCACGCTTTCTCTAGGAGGCAGAAGGGCAAATCGCTTTATCCAGGATCATCACTGGCTGATAAATCTCACTCCGAAAATTGGCCAACACGGGGTTCTAGCGGTGAACCCTGCTCATTTGGCCTGTGAGTGACTACCCCTGCCTCCTGTTACGGCTTTTCTCTTTCCCTAATGAATTTAAAATGTGTAATTCCCGTAAGTGATTCTGAAAGGTAGCAAGTCTATTTCTCATTAGACGAAGGACTCTGGGGAGTCCACTGACGGACAACGGGGAGTTCAAGGGTCCCTGATCCTAAGAGCAAATTGTTCGGGTGGATATGGTTTTCTAGAAAGAAGGTCTATGAATTTCATCCAATTCACTGAATGTTCTGGAACACCAACACGGGACTGCTATGTGGATCGCCTTGATGGTCACACTATCTTCCTCTCCACAACCCCATGCCATGCAATAGGATGACTTCGAGGAGGCTCTACCTACCCTCCATTCCGGGCTGGCCTTGTGCTTGGCTTTGTCCCATGGGATATCAGCAAATGCAATGCCAGCCGACAGGGAAGCGCTCACCTACTTCCTCTTCCTGGAACCCTGCTGCCACATGAACGAGGCTGGGCCAACCCAGTGAGCTGCATGACCCTGTCACCCTCCTTTCCCCAGCTGACCCACTGGCAACTGCAGGCAATGAATGTACCCGGCCACGGTCAGCCACGCCTGGGCCAGCAGAAGCCGACAGAAAGCCTGCAGAATGCACCCGTGTGCCGGACACTGTGCACATTTCCACGATCAAAGTGATCACCAGGCATTTGGCACATCGACTCCAGCTTCCGGCGGTCAGCCTTCTCTGCCGCCAAGCGAGGCTGGTTCCTTCTGGCCTGAGAGGCACCCGTGTGTCATTCTGACAGTGGCCTGCGCCCCACGTGGCCACGGGGCTCCTTCTGTGAGGGCGGGGCGGATCCCGGGGCCTGGGGAACAGGACACCATCCCCAGTTAAGTACCTCCTTTCCTTGCTTGTAAAATAAGGTGGGGGTGACTGGAGCCTCCCTCATTACCGTAATTACTGCCTGAGCCCATCTAAGCAGGAGGGACGAAACTGCTCACAGGGTCACGGCGCCATAGAAGAAATCACCTCCTTTTTCTTCCCCCAGAGGAAAAGTTTCTCTGAATTTGAATAACGCAGAAAGGTGGAAAAGTGGGTAGATAGAGAGGAAGAAGAAACAAAAATATCTGTTTTGAGCTGGGATGCAGGATAATGGAGCTTCGGGGTGCGCACGTCACACGGTCAAGCCACAGATATAGGGAGTTACGGGAAAAAAACTCCAAGGAAAGAAAAAGCATGACATGTACAAAATGGTATAAAACGCGCAGAGGAGCCGCAAGACGTTTGAGAAAACATTTTTCTTTTCCATTAAGACTTCCTATGCTTTTCTAGTAACACCTAAAATGACTTCTTTCTAGGATTCAGGACACCACTTTTTGTATTAGAGATGTATTCGGGAGTAAATAAGGGATGTACATGTCACTTACCACAACTAGTAAAGAAAACATCTGAAACTCTGCTTTCTTGACAAAATAGACAATAAGCTTTTGCTTGTGAAAACACTGATTTTTAATTCAATTATCCCCACAGATAGCCAAGGAGAAAGTTACAACTTATTCTACCATGCTTTTAATAGAACTTTCTATCCTTCATGTTGAGAATGTTGAGATCTTAAACACTGAAGTCAACCAATGAGGAAGCAAACGATTACCAGATGGCATTTTCAACCAAATTTTTTATATTTCTGATAATTGTGCTTCTCTACAACGAATGATTCTTGTGGTTTGCACACTGTATGTCTGCCTTTGTTTACCTACATGACCAGAGAATCACATTACCAGTAGGGAGGCTCACACAGTGTAGAGTGTGTGACCTCTATATGACATTCAATAAGGGTAGAAGCCGTCCTTCCCTCTGACTGCACCCCTTAGGATGCTCTTATGTTGGCATCACATTCTTCTAAAAGTAGGATCAAATCTTCAATCAGGCTGTGCTCTCTGCCGTGGGTCACTCTCATAATATCAAAAGCCTAAAGGAAAAAGAAAGAAGATGGATTATGTTAGAGTAGGCAGTTAGGTTTTAACAGGATGCCTGGAGGCCCATAAAGGGGGAGTCATGGGCAGCTATGGGGGCTGGGGGGGTTGGTTAGAGACCTATCCTGGCAACAGTCCAAAACAGAGCCACAAGAAGCTGGATCAAAGCAGACAGGCCCAAGACAAAGAAGGCTGGAAACCCTGACCTAGTAATGGAGAAAAGTCAAGAAACACTGCTCCCAAGAAAGTCCCTCCTCGAGTTAACAACTGTCAATAAGATAGAGACCCAAACCTCAGGGCAAGCAGCTCTCCCTTGAGCTGGCCTGAGCTCACATCTTGCGAGTGTACACTCACTTTAATAAACTTACCTATTTGCACCACTCAACCATTGTTTGGTGTGTCCTTGAATTCTTTCTTGCAATGAGACCAAGAGCCTTTGGCAACACCCTGGGGATGGGCTGGGTGGAGGTCTCAGGGTCTGGGGGCGGTGCTCAGTCTACCCGGCAACATCTTGATCCCAAAGTAGGTGGGCCCCTGCCCACTCATCTTTGTCCCATGATCCTAGTGCGGTGAACCCCACAGTACATAGCGAGAGCAGCACTGTGGTTCCCCAAGCCACACAGTAAGGGACAGTGTGAATTTTTAATGTGATGTTTGGAGAGTGTGCTCACGACTGGAATCCCGCTGGGGTGTGGTTTCCAGAGATGATCTTCAGGGGTTGTCGGTGAAGAGGTTCAGTGGGTACTTAGGTTTAAGAAGAGCTACTAAGAATGATTAAGTAATATTAAAGATGAAATACCATGCTGCCACCAGACTTAAAATAACATTTCATTTTTGCATGATGCATTTACTTCTCATCTTTTTGTGCTGATTTTGATGTGTATATTTTTGTGTATTCTTTTCATGTCCTAGGACATTAAGCATCAGCATTTTGACAGTCGCTTCCTTCACTCTCCATGTTTAGTTGTCCATCACTAAGTCTTATCAGTTCTGCCTCCATAATATTTCTGAAATCTGGGTGGGCCTGTGACCACTTCAATAATAAGAGAACAATATAAGGAATGCTATTGACTTCCAACGCTATTTTAAAAAGGCCTTGTTCAAGAGCATGTTTGCTCCTGGAGCTGTGAGTCTCCATGCTGTGAGAAGCCCAAGCCCACGGAGAGGCCATGTGTGGGGCTCTGGTGGACAGTCCTCCCTGAGTCCATCTTCCAAGTCATCCTGGCCTACACACCAGAGTTGTGTGTAAAGAAGCATCCAGGGGCCCCTGGCCAGCCAGCTCAGTCAGAAGAGCATGCGACTGTTGGTCTCAGGATCATGAGTTTGGGGAGCCCCATGTTGGGTGTAGAGATGACTTAAAAATAAAATCTTAAAAAAACAAAACAAAAAAATAGGGCACAGATGACTCCAGCCGCTAGCCAGAAGGAAGCCAGATTCCAGTCTTCCCAGCTGAAACCCCCGACATTGTGGCAAAGAGGCAAGCCATTCCTATTGTGATCTGTTTGAATTCCTGACCCAAAGGATCTGTGGGCATAATAAAGTGGCGGTTGTTTTACTCTGCTAAGTTTTGGGATGGCTTGTTACAGAGCAATGATATTTTTGCAGTCAATAAATCAGAAACAAACAGTATCATCCTGCACCGCCCACTAGGGGGCTAGCGGGAAGGGAGGACCGAGCCACGGCACTGAATGTGCAGGTGCCTTCAGGAGATGCGTGAAGACATCACTTGGTGGTCATTAAGCACCCACCCAGAGAAGTTCCTGGCACGCAGGCTCTTAGCCTTGGCTGCACATTATTATCAACCAGGGAGCCTCAAAAGAGACCCCAACGCCCAGACCCCACATGTGTGATTCATGAAAAGTGCCCTTGGGGCTGAGAATGACTGATACGGTAGCTCTCGACAAACAAGAGCAGCTTTTATTCAATGTTAATTTATAGCCAGCATAACTACCACTTTAATGGTTGTGTACAATTAATTACATCATGTTTACAGACCCTCATTCATTCACTAAGCTACTCTCGGAAATGTCGATCACTTCTGATTTTTAACAAAAAATGACATGATGTAGCTCTTCCAACTTATGACATTTTTTGCCTTTGTGGAATATTTGCTTAAACTAAATTCCTAGGGACTCCTGGGTAGGAAGAGCTTTGCGGCCAGAGACTACGGAGCTGGGGAGCAATATAGTCACATCCTCAGAGCCCTTCATTCTGTGGGGAGGAAACCCAGGGCAGCTAAGTGGTCAGACCCAGGACTGTTTTCCTTGCCTGTGTTCTGGCCTCTTTAAAAAGTCCTCTGTAGGCTGGAATGAGGGCAAACAGGCAGGCAGAGGGGTCTGGATGTAGGGAAGAGAAAGGAAGAGGAAGACCTGCTGCTCAGGCTCTGGTCTCCAGCCTGGAAGAGAGCAGCATGCACGGAGTCCAGCTGCGACCTGCAGACAGGCAGGCCCATCCCCTGGTGACATCCCAGCTGGCAAACCCTGAAGGTTCTCATGAACTTGAGTGGGTCGGCCCCGTGGGTGTACAAGTGTCCACAAGCACACCGTGGGGGGGGGGGGCGGCGCTGTCTACCACTTTGCCGGTGGCAGCCAGGCTCCATGAGATCCCTCCCGACAGAAGATCAAAAACAAATGTGGGAACAAATGTATCCTGTTTCATCCCCTCCCCCCACCTCCCTGGGGCACAACTCTGGGTCCTCAACTGGTCTGGACACATGAAGGTCCGAGGCGGAGAGCTGCTTGAAAGCAGGATGGCCGTGAGATTAGAGAGCTGCTTCAAGTCCTTCACAGGAAATCCTCCTACTTGAAAGCTCTCTTGGATGTTCTCTTCCCTTCTACTCAGCAGAGGGTCAGATATCTCTGGGATCCGGCAGAGGAAGATGAATGGGCCAGAAGCACTGCCTAAAAATGTCTTTGCATAAAGGGAAATAACCCTCCATGGGACCCCACTAACAGGGAGTCCAGAAAAAGGTCAGGCCTGACCTGGGAGAGCTCACCTCCATCCCTGTCCCTCATGGAAACCCTCTGCTGGATTGGGGCCTGGCCCTGTTGCTCAGGAGGATGCCCCGACTAGCTTTTTCTGCCCTCCTGGCCATATTTCTCCAGGTTCCTCACCTCAAGGATATTCTGGACATTTGACTCAGAGGCTACATGACAAAGGTCATCTTCCTAGCACTCCAAGAAGGTAAGGTAGATTTGCATGTGTTTAAACCTTCCTTTTGGCCTTTCTTCCAGTTGTTTCACTTTCTTCCAGCTTTAGAAATCAGGTCTGCTCCTCAAGAGCTGAAGTTAATTGTGGCTGATCCAGAATCTCAGTGCTTGTCCTACAGCAGGATAAGAACCTGAGCCTCTGTAGGAGGCTTCTGGAATTACAGAACCTTCTGGAATTACAGAGCCACAGGCAGAAAGGGGAAGCTGTGTGGCTGTCCCCAGGCCTCACTCCCACACCTTCATGCCTGCTTCCTTACGGAGGGGCCACGGAGGACCACAGGGTCCAAAGTCCTCAAGGTACGGCCTGAGAGGTGGGCACAGGGTGAGCGCTGACTCTTCAGGACTCAACCCGGGGCTCCCTCATGACAGCACTGTGCAGCCTCCTATAGCGGAGGGACCCGAGTCTCCCCTATACCTAGATGTGGCTTCTGAGACACCCAGAGGGATCGCAGGGTCTTCCTAGTCAAGATACTCTTGATGGTGCTCTTGTTCTCTTATTTGGTGGTGAACACAGCCTTGGAAGCAAAGGCGAGAGCAAGGGGTGACCCCTGAGCATTATGTATAAGATTTGAGACACTAGGATTAGAAGATTTTATCCATGGGGGTGGCTAGAAGCAGAGAGGACCCAGAGGGTAGAGCTAGGGCAGAGGACCAATTTGAAGAAACTGAAAAAACATCGACATCATTCGTCTAGAAGGTGAAACTAAATATAGATATAATTAACAAGCAGACATGAACATTTTATGAGTGATGGGGGGAGCAGAAGAGAACGGGAGAGAAAGGAAAGAAAGAAGTAGGATTCAGTAATGTGCAAAGCCTGGCTGTGACCGTCTTCTGTATGTGTGCGAAGGATGTGTCTCTCCGGGGGGACAGGAGGTGAGTGGAAACACAGACCTGCTAATGCAGGATATCTGGTCCTTGTCTTGGGCGTCAACCAGGCAGACAGGTGAGCTGGGTAACAGTTCTCAGTGAGGCAGGGCGAGAGCACCCCGTGGCTGTGGGCACAGCTCTCCATGGGGGCTGCAACCCTTCAGCGCACTGGGAAGAAGAAGAGGGCTTTTCCCTCCAAATAAAGTGACAGTAAATCCCTGACAAACCAGAGCAATTGTTTCCTCTAGCTCTGCGTCTCCCTTCGCTCAGCCCCTCCCACCCGCCACATGCACATGTCAGAAAGGACAATTTTGGTTTCATTTCCTGCAGGAGCATATAAAACAGATTAAGGAAATATAAACTTGGAGCCGGCTTGCACTGGGAAAAGCTTCTCTCTTCCCATTACCTTTGATTTTCTTAATAGCAGCATTTAAAAAGAGCCTCCACATAATCTTCCACAGAGGACTCATTTGAAGCCTCCGGGGGGCTGCTACACCGGGTATGGACTAAATGTGACACGAGAGATGGTGGCACTGCCTGTCTGCCACGTGACGGGCGTGGTTCATTCCGGAATAAAGACAGGGTCCCAGAACTGACCGCAGTCTTTTTTAAGTAATTTTAAAACTGTGGTCTTAAATACATGAAATCAAATCATGATTTAACACTGCAAACAATAGCTTGCTTATTAATTTTTAATACAAATATATTAAGCTTATCAGGGATCTCATATACTCTCTACCATGAGCCCGAGGGGATCCAATAAATGGCTTCCCCAAGCATGATTTAAATATGGATATACAATCAGAGGGAAAAGAAATGTATGCCTGATAAGCACAAGAGGGAAAAATCCAAGTTTTCTTACTCTGCACATCTCAGGTTGAAAGCTGAGTGGAGGAGGGGGAGGGGGACATGGTCTG